ATCAGCGATTATCAAAAGGAACCAAGATCTTAGTGTGTAATGGTGATATATTCACACTTTTGTTTTTAAATCGAATAAAAATTGTGACCTCTACAGGGAACACAAGCTAAAAACGTGATTTTTTGTTCAATCAAAGGCCATAATTCAAGAAATAACGATCCGATATGCATAGATATCGAAAGGAACCAATATCTTTGGGTTATAAACATGTATGTCAAGTTTCATCGTTATCGGATCAAAATTGTGACCTCTAGAGGGTCAACACCTTAACCTTGATTTACCAGATGTTTACACTATTTGCGTACGAGGGGCGGCCATTTTGTCCGGCAGTTTTGGTCTGATTTTTATGAAATTCGAAGTCAACCATCCATAGGGTGTAACAATTATATATTCGAACGTTTATTTAAATCGAATAATAATTGTGACCTCTACAGGGACCACAAGTTAAAAACGCGATTTTTCGTACAATCAGGGCCCAGTTCCTAGAAAATTCTTAAAAGTAAGCACAAAGTCATGCTTCACTTTTGCTTACGTAAGAAACTTTATAAAATACCGTCTCTAGAAAATTCTCAAGACTGTTCTTACGTGAGCACAAGTCAAGTCTAAGCACATTGTGACTGGTTAACTGAGACTACGATGCTCTCTAACGTCATAAAAAGCAATTTTGGTATGCGAATTACGTCATAAATCGGTCGACTGCGTAGTTATAAATAGATCAATGACATTAGCTTCCCGGCAAATAGTCGATTTAGATGCATTTGACATGTCCCTAATACACATATGAAATGTGTCACAAGTTTAAAAAGATAGGTTGCCAGGCAACGAAACATACGCCCACAGGAGCTAAGTCCTCGGAGGAGTCAACAAAAGTTGTCGCATATTTTTTCTGTTCTGACTAAAAGTAACAACTTATTATCCGAAAATCATTAGAAATTATTTGGCTTTTAGTTCTGCCCATGCCAACGTTTAGTATACGAAACCTTTAATATCATGGATATCATTTAATATCAAGTTATCAAAATTCATTGAAAATCAATATACGTGTTCGTCTCAAGACCTAAACTCTGTTTATCTATCTAAAGTCAATCGGATAATAACTTTGGCCTCTAGAGCATCCATAAGATTTTTCAAAGTGATCAAGTGCTATAACTCTGGTAGTAATTATCGGAAATCATTGAAAATCAATAGGATTCTTCGTCTTACGACCTTAAACATTGTGTAAAAATTTAAAGTCAATCGGATATTAACTTAAGCCTCTAGATCATTCACAAGCAATTGTGGACGCCGGACGGACGGACTGGCCGGAACGACGACAATATACGACCACATTTCAATATCATCCAAAATCTTCGACATTGAAAACACGAATTTTTTTGCAATTTAAATCAGCATTGGTGTTGTAATCTTACCTGGAAAAGATGGGCTTCTGATATCCAATATTTAAGACAAAATAAACATTTTACCATTGGTACACGAATCGTGTACCATAATGCGTTTCAGCGCCATTTGTAACAAGGTGCTCAAAGAATGAGGCTAGACATATTCCACAAGTCATGTCAAACGGTGATATTATATTCTTATTTGGAGAGCATGCGCAATAAATAATATCGGCGTTGACTGGAATAACCAGACGCTAGAAACTGACTTGCGGTTGAGACTTCTGGCGTATTTCGCCAAACATAACTGATGACAATTCACAGTAAAACGGACACGATTGAATGTGCCAATTTCTAGGTCCAAAATATTAGCGATTTATAGCTCCTTTAAAGTAATGAATGTCAGCGTAAAATATAAATACTAAAGCGAAACCTGTTCTAATTAATAATAGGAACATTTAAAATTTATCTTTAGGTGGTCTTAGCACCGAACTATTACTTTGGAACGTCGAAAATGATCTTGCATAACAGAACCAAAACGCTTCGGAACCTGTTTCAAAAATAAGTAATAACTGTTAAATCAAAATCACCCCGAATTAGTTTTACAACGAATGCTATTCATAATGATACTAGTTGTCTGAAAAAAAAACAATTGAATAGTTTCATGGCTGGACTCAGGGTGGAGTCACAAAGCCTGTCAAAATTTTCCCGCTAACATTTACCAATACGACATATATATCCTGTGAACTACTATGTACAATGAATCCGTCGGTTTTATCTGCGTCCATGTTCCGGCGAAATTCATAAAAACTCAAAACAATTGCAAACTCGTCTTCAGATACGTGTTTTCCCGTCACAGATTAACGTCGGTTTTCCTAGGCTGGGATTCTCGGAAATCCACGCGGCCTGCGGGCTTGAGTCCAACACTGAAACTATTCAATTGTTTTTCAGATAACTAGTATCATTATGTATAACAATCGTTGTGAAAATATATCGGAGAGATTTCGATTTGACAGTTTTTACGTAGTTTTGAAACAGGTTTCAAGGTGTGTTGGTTCTGTTATGCAAGATCATTTTCGTCGACGTTCCAAAGTAAATGTTCGCTGCTAAGTCCACAATTGTTTCTGAACACTCTAGAGATCACAATTTTTATCCGATTTCCACAAAACTTGAAATATACGTTTATCACCCTAAGATCCCGGTTCCTGTCTATATTGGCATGTATTGGAATGTAACTTCATGGGTTATGGCCCTTGATTGTACGAAAAATCACGTTTTTAGCCTGTGAACACCGTAGAGGTCACAATTTTTATCCGATTTGGTTTAAACATGAAATATATGTTTATAACCCAAAGATCTCAGTTCCTGTCGATATTCGCGCATACCGGACTATAACGTCCTGAATTATAGCCCCTGATTGTACGAAAAATCGCGTTTTTAGCTTGTGGACCCTATAGAGGTCATAATTTTTATCCGATTTAAGAAACCGTTTTAGCATATCACCGTTACACCCTAAGGATGGCTGCGTTCGAATTTCGTAAAAATCGGACCAAAACTGACTGACAAAATGGCCGCCAATCGTTCTCAAATAGCGTAAAAATATGGTATAACAAGGTTGTGGACCCTATACAGGTCCCAATTGTTATCCGATTTTGTTGAAATTTGAAATGTAAGTTTTTAACCCAAAGATCTCAGTTCCTTTCGATATTCGCACATATTGGATCGTTAACTTCCTGAATTATGGCCCTTGATTGTACGAAAAGTCGCGTTTTTAGGATGTGATAACTCTAGATGTCAAATTTTTTATCCGATTTAAAAAAACATTGTTTGAATATATCACGGTGAGTCCGAATTTCGTACAAATCGGACCAAAACTGCCGGACAAAATGGCTGCCCCTCGTACGCAAATATTGTAAATATATGGTATATCAAGGTTTTGGACCCTCTAGAGAGAGGACACAATTTTGACCCGATTTTGATGAAACTTGAAATACATGTTTATAACTCACGGATCTTGGTTTCTTTCAATATTCATGCAAATCGGATCGTAACTTCCTGAATTATGGCCATTGATTTTACGAAAAATCACTTCTTTTTTGAGCTTGTTCTCTGTCCATCTCTTGGAGACGAGCAAGACACAATTACATATGACTTGCATGTTAGCGATATTATGATATTCATAATGACATTAATACTCACTAGAACAACTCCAGTATTCAAGTAATGATATGCCTGATAGTCACCAGACCCCTCGATATTTTCCACTTGACTCAATGACAGACCTTATCATCTAACGCGCATGCGTTAAACCATCTGGCCACAAGTTAAAAATGAAGAGACGTCAAGCTAAAATCAAATGTCTTCATTACCCCAATCGCACTTCATCTCATGTCATTAAAATCAAGGGATATATGATAGTCTATGGCCGTGTAATATAAAGAGTTGTCTCCCATTTACACGAACTGAAATAGTGAATTGAATTGGGGTTTAACGTCCTACTTCTCACCGAATTATGGAAGACCAAACAACTCTTTATTCAGATTTCTTAGTTCTAAATTGATAGTCCTCAATTCTTATTTCTTCATTAATTGTTGTCGTATTCCGACTTTTATACATTAACATTTGTATTTTAAAATCAATATTTGTTTTACAAATGAGACATTTGTCATATCCAGTGGCTGCGCCCCCCCCCCCATGAATCTTTTCTGCCCTCTGTTTGCCCCCCCCCCCCCAATAATTTTAGAAAATAAAAAACAAGTATTTGTGATACGTTTCGGTAATCAATACCTTCTGCGGTGAATAAATCCCACATCCCCACTCAGTCATAAACTTGCATGTTGTAGAGCATTTCCGACAGTCTATTTTTCAAAATTTTCTTGGCGAGGTCCCCAATGGACTCGCTACTTTGGCGTTCACAAGGGGAGTTCGTTGAGGTTCGTTTGACATTTTGTTCTCTAGTCGGATAAACTAGTGATCAGGCGACGGACGGTATCTGGTCAGATCTATTTATCTCGACGATCGGTGCCTGTGAATACTGTAAGACAGCATTTCCGGCAGTCTATTTTTCAAAATTTTCTGGGGGAGGACTCCCTACTTTGACGCTTGTGAGTGGGCTTCGTCGTGATTCGCAAGTCCGTTCGTTTGACACTTTACCTCATCGATCAGTGCCTGAAATACTGCCAGGCTGCATTTCCGGCAACCTGTTTTTCAAAATTTTCTGTGGGAGGCCCCCTACCCCTAGTTGAAACTCGTGCCTTTGCCCCCTTAACCTTGGACTTTGTCCCAGCTTTGCCCCTCCAATCACCGACGGCTGGCGCCGCCACTGGTCATATCAGATTTGTAAAATGTATTTTTCTTTAATTTAATCCTGGAAAATCAAAATAGAAAAGAAAAAGATTGCCCGTTTGGTCTAACATAACGAATGGTGTAATACATTGCGTTTCGATGGAAATGAAATAAAATGGGGTTTAACGTCCAACTGCTCTGCCCGGACCGCGGCGTTTCTGCTTGCACTTTGTTAGGAATACCATAACCCTAACCCAACCCTAACTCTACTAACTCAGAACAGCATCTTGCAATTAAGAAAGACAATATTACGCTAATCAAAAATGAGCTACGACAAAATCAAAGTGCAATTATTATTTATTTATAAACAAAATAGCCTAGCATAATAATCAAATATTATTTCACTATATTTATTTTGTAATTGTAAATGGATGGGGTATTAAAATGTAGACAAAATGGAGACAAGTTGGTTTGAACAGAACAGTACAAGTTCATCCAGAAAACATTATTTTGATTACAGAGCAAATTTCTATATATTAGGTTAATGAAAATACATGGAATATGAAAATGCAGAAATTACTTTAAAAACAATGTTGGTTTTTATAAAATAGTACGGGTTCAAAGACAATATTTTGATTATAATTTATTCAGACAATAAAGCAACGTAATAAATTTCACTATTCAAGTATTTGGTTAATATAAATGTTAGGGTATATTAGAATGTAGAAATGTTTTTAAGAACAAAATTGAAACAAGGTGGTTTGCCCAAAAACAGTACAAGTTCAAAAGGCATGAAGTCTATCTAGAAAACAAAGCAGTAAATTTCACTATATTTGGTTATTATAAATGCATGATAGATTAACCAATTACAATATGGTGGGTTTGACTAAAAATTCACGATAGTTTTATTATTGTGAAAATATGTATTTCGCCATTCATTTCAATATTCTGTATTGTGATTTTATTGTAGTCGATTGAACTTTGGGATCTAATTAACTTATTTACATACAAATGACAAATTATGAAGCTAAGCCGGTTATAAAATGAAAAACGGTCGGTGTATTCAGTGTCGTCATCAATGGTCTAGGCCAACAAGCTATCTAACATGTTGATACAGTTATCTGAAAAGATATAAAACGAATATAATTAATGTCTAAGGTAGACAACTCTGTAAAAACAAGACTGATTTTATTTTTGCTGAACTGTGGAAATAAATTAATGTGGCGTGTAAACATAATTCACCTCTTCTTGTCGTCAAACAGATTACAAAACATTAGTTAATTCCTTTTTTTTTTTAAAGATCGATGGTATTTGTTTATTAATTTGTATGTTGATTCACTGCTATAGACAACCATGATAAAAGCTTTCAAATATTGGTTCTGAATACCTTGTGATTTTGATGCCTATTTCAATATGGGTCGCTGAATGTCTAGGGAAAGAGAGAGAGAAAATGGGGTTTAACGTCCACTCGACACAAACTAGGTCATTTCGGGACTAACATATGGTTTAATTTTATTTCAATAATTCGCTTGCGCGTAGGGTCTTTAGCAGTGGGAGGAAACCGGAGAGGCGACCATACTCCTTGTCACGTACAACCGGGGATTCGAAACCACGCCAGTTGACTCAATGACAGGCCTTATGATACAGCGCGTGTGTGCTAACCCTGAATGTCTAGTGGCAATATATCTCATTATAAAAAGACTAGAATATAACTACCAGGAACTCTCAAGTATTAAGAAATGAAATAAAATGGGATTTAACGTCATATTTATCTTCTCCATCCGGGCTAATAAAGACGGGCTTACACCTTACGATTTTCACTTCACTTGAAATGAAATTGGGTTTAGTATCCTACTATTTTACACTGACTTGGCTAATGAAGGCGTGTATACGCCATGCTATGAGGGAACATTTGCCCGTACAGCGGCACAACAGCCTACTCTCGTGCGCAAACTATCTTTTCAAATGCCAACTGTCAAAGGTACACGTGACCTTGGTGATCATACACGACCGGACCCATGCCAGAAAATCTCGGGGAACTTTCTCGGCCAGCGTATCAGAGAATTAAGAACACTCCAACTTTACAAACAAATGAACTTACGTAATCAATCCACCCTGTAAAATTCTTGGATCCAGTACCATGACCTAGTTGGAAGGCACACTTTGATCTTAGTATTAGAGCATCTGTAAAATAATTATATAGGACATGATGGGGTAGTTTCAAAAGTAAAACAACTAGGTCGCTCATATTTGCAATGTTATTAATTATTTCAGAAATACATGGTCTCTATCGTCATTTTGGCGTATATACATACACATTGAGCTTTTTTAAACAGAGAAATCCAACAGCCTGTTTGACATCAATTTTTATTATGAATTAATACGATGACATTGTGATTCATTTTTATTGATGCAAAGCATTAATTGTGATATCACATATGTCTATATCATTATCTCGCGCTTCGAGTGCCCATCCTGTCGCACCATCTGACGATAAAGGATAAAGCACAATTATGACACTTTTCTCATAAAAAAGGTTTTTTACAAGTTTTTTTATGTAGCTGAACAGGGGAGCCCCCCCCCCTGGATCCACCCCTGTATTTTCTATATGTTCTTTACTAGAGCAAATAATACAAAGTCCTAATGTTGTATTATTTGCTCTAGTAATGCGCGTGTCTCAAGTTTATTTTTTCTGCACTTTATTGCGCAGTTATTCTGCATCGTCTGCAAAAACAAAAAATAGTATAGAAAAATATATACTTACCTGCGACCCATTTGCTATTGGTGTTTGAGTTAACATTGGCTGTAAATTCTTTATCTTTCAAACTGTATTCAACTTCCCGCGCTTGGACCTGATAATAAAACAACATTAAAATGCTATTAAAAATGTTGATAATATTTAAAATACTCGCCCAATTTGGTTATACATGGTCGTCTATGAAAAATGAATATATGTTTTGGCGATAATCGAGTCCATATCAAACCAAGCCAAATAGCTTTGATCTGGGGTAAAATATATGGAAGACCAAACAGCTCCTTATCCAGTGTTCTTAATTCTTAGTTCATAGTCCTCAAATCTTATTGCTTAATTTATTGTTGTATTTGTAAGCTAAAATTAACATTTGTAATTCAAAATCAATATTTGTCTTACAAATCAGACATTTGTATCTTTGTTTAGTTTAATTATTATTATTTAAATAAAATGATAAAATTTCATTTAGGAAATCAAAATATTACATTTACATTTTATCAGAAACATACAACGAAAAACAAATATCGAACAATAAATTTCCTAATATAAATCGCCAAATACCAATCTTGAAAAACTATTGTCAAAAAAACATTTCTCCAAATTCGTCTAACCTGAATATCATGACGACAGTGGACGATAATGAATAAAGAGCTGTTTGGTCTTCTATAAAATTAAAGTAGTAAATTGAGCCGATTATATCGACACTTTTAAATTTTGGACAAGGGACTGGACACCAAGCGCCACTCATCTTATTGATCTTGTTCTTCTTCTTTGGAGCGAACATGTACGATTGCCATGAAACTTAGCATGCTTGTTCCTTCGTTGGACAATTACGCATCAATTGACGGACGTCGAATTTGATATGACGTCACAATTCAGAGTATAATGCATCTTTAACGATTAAATTTCAAAATATTAAGCGGTAGACAATTTCGTTATTAAATTTATGTTTGGTTTTGGCTTAAATTTGTTGCACACAAAATCAGTTATAGGTTATTATTTGACTCCGTCTGTAGACCTAAGACTTTAAATGTTGACAGATACCATGCGACATCGCAAAAAACTCATCGTTTCTATGCATCTCATTTTGTCTGCACCAACTGGGATAATGAAGACGTACATACGTCATGTAATGTGTTATGGTGGAAATTTTCCCCAGACAGCGGCGTGTCCGTCTACTTGTCATCGAATTCCATCTGCCAAGGATTCTTTTAGGTGCACACCGACATGTACACGGAATTTCGGTTTTTCGTATCATTTGAACGACTAGACACATTCTCGGGTAACTTCAAGATTGGACCCGGAACCTCATAGTTAATGAGCCAGCGCCCAATTACTGAGCCACGTGTAGAACACCATACGAAGTTTAATATTAATTTGCAGTAGCCTTAGTTTTGGTTCATTATAATTTATACTCACATAAGAATTAACTCTAAGATTGTGGGTGGCGTTTGTAGTATCTGCGAGGTTGAATTGGACATTGGTGTGTTGGTTGATTATGCTTATGGAAGGTTGTTTACCACAATCACCATTGGTAACCACGGCTTGTGTTTCAAAACTATTAGACGTTTGGCTATATTTGACCTTTATGTTAACTTTAGATAGGAAGTCAACATTAGCCAATGTTAGAATCCTAATGATGGCGTTGCCATTGAAATAAGCTTTACCGTTGCGGATTGTAGCCCCATAGTTGTCATACTCCCCAGGCTCGTCTGAGTTGAAATCAATGTCCACAATAGGCTTGCAGGGAGCTGAAATCGATTTAGAGTGTTTAAACTATGAAACGCTGTATAATAAGATCATGATAACAAAATGGTGGTCAAAACGGATATTTTGGAAAGATTAAACCAAATACATAAATGAATGAATAAATGAAATGGGGTTTAACGTCCTACCATTCTGTCCCTACTCGGCTAATAAAGACGAACATACTCCATACAGTATGCTATGCAGTAACTTTTGCCCGGACTGCGGTTCTACGACCTGCTCTTATGTCGAATATACGTGTAACTGCCAAGGGTTCTTTTACGTGCACACCAATGTGTAGACGAGACCTCGTTTTTTTATCCTCTCTGAAAGACTATACGTTGTCCCATGCCATGCCAGGTCTTCTTTCCAGCAACACTGACAAGAGAGAACCATGCCAGAAATTACCGATGAACTTTCTCGGCCAACAACGGAACCTCCAACATAGCGAGCCAACGTCTTACTCGCTGAGCAACCGTGACTCCCTATAATCAACATACGGTAACCGTCGTCAATAATACGAACAAAAGGAGAAAAAATATTTTCAAGTGACGTGCGCATGGGAAAACGTGCACGAGGCGTAAAAAATAAATCCAAATGTAGAAGTTTTTACAGACAATACTGAAGAGCCAGTTTTAATTATATTCAGCTTTTACATGTGTTTACTTACGACTACAAAAAGTTCCAAATTCTGTATCACATACACATCTGGCTTGGTTAAAGGTCGTACCGGCTGGACAAGGCAAATCCTCATACGTTTGAAATCCGACAACCCAATCATAATGACATTTATCACCAGTTCTTTCTCTATAATAACATTTCGCTGTAAAATACATTATTGAAGGCCTTTATTTTTTTCACAATGTGTCTATCATTTAGACATTTATTCACATGGCAAGCCTATAATCAACTCTCTGGACCATTGAATGGACGTGATTTACATGGATTAGAACAGCCTTGAGATTCAAAAATTTAACGATAAAATGGAAAATCGAGTACCGTTGCTACGATAATAAACCATCTATGCTAAAACTCCAAACAGTCATAACTTCGCTCAGTGAAAAGTAATCTGAATGAAATTTTCGATATATTCATTTTTCATTATGTTATATTTATAGCACATTTTTAATGAGTTAACAGGTTTAACCAGAGGCCGAAGGCCGAGGAGTAAACCTGTTAACGAATGAATCGTGCTATAAATGACTTGTAACATTGACAACTGCTCAACATGTTTGTTATCATTGCACAGAAAACCCACCCCACTTCTCTATATGATTTCTACTAAAGCTAGTGTAAACCAGCAAACGTGTGCAATAACATTGAACATGTCCAGTTATTGCAAGGTTAAGCTCCACCCATCTACTAGAGGGAAAACAAATGAAATGAAATGGGGTTTAACGTCCTACTGTTTTGCTCCGAGCTGGGATAATGAAGACGGGCATACGCCATACAGTGTGCTATGAGGGAAATTTTGCCCGGACAGCGGCACTACGGCCTACTCTTATATCGAAATCCATCTGCCAAGAGATCTTTTACGTGCACGCCAATGTGTACACGGGACCTCGGTTTTTCGTCCCATCCGAACTACTAGACAGCTTTCCTTGTCAGCCCCTGACAAGGGAGAACCACGCCGGAAAATCTGGATGAACTTTCTAGGCCAATGCAGGGATCGAACACCCGACCTCCAGGATAGCAAGCCAGCGTCTTACCCACTTAGCCACGTGATCCCCAGAGGGAAAACAATCTGCTTATTCAACGAAAAGAACAAAGGAAGATTTCCCGTCCATGTTACAACTATTTTTGAACTATTACAGCCAGAATGGCAAGCTGTATATATAAATTTTGCATAATGCATCTTTAACCAACAGACATTTAATCTTTATTACCATGTGTTTGGCGCTATATAGCCCGCCTGGACCTGCCTGCTATAAATTCATTTTGCGACTAACCTATATTCAATTTTGTTTCAATAAATCATTTGCGCGAATAGGTCGCTATAGATGTGGAAGGCAACCGGGCAGTCGAAACCACACCACTAGACTCAGTGACAGACCTTATGATCTAACATGCATCTATTCGCCCCCCTCCCCCCCCCCCTTACGACAGAAAATATATTGTATTTAAAAATATAAGATCTAACGTGCATCTATTCGCCCCCCCCCCACGACATATAATATATTATATTTAAAAATATAAGTAATACAACATACGAGGAAGAGGTTTAAGGTAATTGCATGAAGGATCTTCAGAACAGCGACTGTTAGTTGTATCATAGAAATATCCAGGTTGACAGTGTCTGACCAGTGTTTCGCCATCTTCACATCGGTAATACTGAGAACAGTTTCCAGTTGTCTTGTATTTATAGCCATCTAACCTTGTACTGCATGGATCTGTCAATAAAAATGTAACCACACACATGTGTATATTATGCGTGAAATAGGAACACCATCAAACTGATCAGCAGAAATTATTTGCTTGAAGTTTTATTTAAACATACATTATGCAAGAACTACATCTGCCTATTGCAGGTCTTTCTATAGGCCTGAAATGTTATCTTAATTATTAATTAGACCTTAATTAACTTATCCAGACCATAATCAACTCTTGATGTCATCGCTAGCCTGCGATATTTACTGGATTAGGTTCCGATTTGCTGCCTGACTTCCATTCATAATTTAATAATGAAATGGATAATCGAGACTATTTTTTTTTCATCGAAACGACTTTAGTAATGATGATCAAGGCTAGGCCGTAAATTCAATCGCTAAAATCTTGGTTTAGAGTGGATCAATTTGATAGAAATTTTCAATAAATTTCCTTTACATTATCTAGTTTTTAACTATTATAGTGAGAACTCTTTATCTAATCTCCCATAATATATCTTTAACTTTTTTCTTCTGTAAATTAAATTCTTAAAGCATTTCTTTAATGTCTTTGGAGGGATCACGTGGCTAAGTGGGTAAGACGCTGGCTCGCTAGCCTGGAGGTCGGGTGTTCGATCACTGCATTGGCCGAGAAAGTTCATTCAGATTTTCCGGCGTGGTTTCCCCCTTGTCAGTGATGCAGGCTGGAGGGCCTGACAAGGGCAGCTGTCTAGTCGTTCGGATGGGATGAAAAACCGAGGTCCCGTGTACACATTGGCGTGCACATAAAAGATCCCTTGGCAGTTGGAATTCGATACAAGAGTAGGCCGTAGCACCGTTGCCCGGGCAAAATTTCCCTCATAGCACACTGTATGGCGTATGCCCGTCTTCATTAGCCCAGTTTAGGAGCAGAACAGTAGGACGTTAAACCCCATTTCATTTCATTTAATGTGTTGGACGGATATCTGCATAAAATATGGGCACATAAAATAATACACGAAGGCGTAAAATGAAGAGGAGGCATCAATTCTACCCCCTTGCTATTGAGGCAGTATGATGTGACGTCATGCGCAGACCTATACTGCTCCGGAGTTAAAATAAGACTTTCGCACAGGAAAAAGGTTTCAAAACACAAACCACGTTTTGATATTTATGCACAATTAGTAGACACTGTTTAGAGAGGAATAGGATTTAACGTCCGACACAAAGTTCAATTTTATTTCAATAATTCGCTTATGCATAGGGGTCTTTAGCAGTAGAAGGAAACCTGGCGACCTGGATAAACTCCCAAGGTTGGACAGGTGACCATACTCCTTGTCATGTACAAGCTGTTGAATCGAAACCACGTCACTTGACTCAATATGCTCTGAAGCGCACGCGTTAAGCCAACCCCCTATAATCAGCCAAAACTAAGGATTCTGCAAATTTATAGTGAGCTTCGTCTGGTGGTTGGATAAGTGACTCTACCTCTTTTCTCTTACTAGCTGGGAATCGAAACCTAGCTACTTAATTCAACGAAACACCTTATACCATGTGCAGTACACCATTCCGCCACTCCACCCCTCGCTTTACTTACCCCTTGTCACGTATTAGCGGGGAATCGAAATGAAATGAAATGAAATGGTGTTTAACGTCCTTCTGTTCTGCTCCGAACTGGGCTAATGAAGACGGGCATACGCCATACAGTGTGCTATGGGGGAAATTTTGCCCGGACAGCGAAACTACCGCCTACTCTTATATTGAGTTCCAACCTCGGTTTTTCTTCCCACCCGAACAACTAGACAGCTGTCCTTGTCAGGCCTTCCGACCTGCACCACTGACAATGGAGAGCCACACAGGAAAATCTGGATGAACTTTCTCGTCCAATGCAGGCATCGAAACATACTTAACTCAACGAAACACCTTGTACCATTTTCAGTACACCACTCGGCCACTCCACCCCTCGCTTCACTTACTCCTTGTCACTTACTAGCTGGGAATCGAAACCTAGTCATTTGTCTAAAAAATAAAACTTTATGATGTCACAAATCCCCCCACTTTACGTACAAAAACAAATATGCATCTTACCATTATCACAGGGGACATTACCAATATGATTACAGATCAGTTTATCTTGATCCCAGAAAGTTCCATATCCACATTGTTTTACGTGGTATCGAAGTAAGGTGAGATCTGTGGTAAATTCACATTGGATGAACTTATCGCAATCTTCATGTGGATTGTATCCAATACCGTTAACCATTGCACAGTCATCACATGGATGGGTAGATGCTGGTTGAGTAGTTGGATAAGTAGTTGTTGGTTGAGTAGCTGAAAATAGTCAGGACAGTGACATTTAAACAAATTGGCAGGTACTTAAAATAATTCATCATTCAATATCAACAGTGAAAAGTGTCATGGTCAGGTATTTCTCAGCCCATCAATTTACCACCTTCTTTCTCTGTGTGACTTATACGTCCCCATTACCAAACTATCCCTAGCACACTACAATTGGAAGCCGCGGTGGTCCAGTGAGCACAAAATGATGACCCGCTAACCAGGATGTCCAGGGTTCGATTCCGGTGTTGGCCGAGAAAGTTCCTCGAAATTTTCCCGCGTGGTTCCCTTTGTCAGTGTTGTTGGACAGAGAGCCTGGCAAGGAACAGCGTATATTGTCGTTCGGATGGAACGAAAGTCCGGGGTCCTGTGTACACGTTAGCTTGCACGTAAAAAATCCTTGCCAGTTGGAAATCGATATAAGAGTAGGCAGTAGCTCCGATAATAACATCGATAATAACACAGGTATTGAAGCAGTTAGGAAAGCATTTCTTAGGAACCCGCAAACATCCAGGCCAGACGAAGAAATCCTCAAATTACTCGACATCTGTCTGAGGAGGATTGACTTTACATTCAACGACCAAATATACCCCCAGTCTTCAGGAACTGCGATGGGAAAACGATTTGCCCCGAGTTACGCAAATCTCTTCACGGCGGAGTTGGAAAGGGAAGTTTTGCCACTCTGTCCATTAAAGCCAGATTTCTATGGACGTTTTTTTAGCTGACGTTTTCATAGTCTGGACGTACACACTAGACGAATTTTGGGCGTTTTTTTTTAACTTTCTGAAACTTATAATTGCATATTCTAAAAATAAAAATCTGAACGACATCTTAGTTCACAGTAAATTAGATTAAATAAGACCAGTCTCCACCCTAACCGTTAGTAAATAAAATCAACTAGACATATAAATCCCTAGCCCTACACCGGTAATGTGGAACAAACACATTTTTATAAAATCCAATTCGTAGTAGTAAACACACTAATGTAGCTCTCCCCCGAGAGCCTCAAATTTATTCTTTTTTCTTCAGAAACCAAAATACCAGAAGCACCACCCAAGGAAGACTATCGGCGTTACTAACACCAAAAAACAGTGAAATCACCTTTGTATATAGATCTAATGTTTTATATGTATCTTTAATAAAACTAGGAAATATCACGAACTAACTTTTCATCATCCTAGGTCAGTGCTTATGTGGACACTTAACCTCTCCCCCAAATTCTTAAACCTAACCCACATTTCAATGACGTCATATGTGTTAAAATGTGCAGGACCGTCTTCGATCTAGCGTTCTCCGCCTCCAAGACAGTTTGGGCCATGAAAAACGAATCAAAATAGGACCCGTACTTTGATCAGATTGTTATACTTACTTGGACAGATTTCCAACACTAGACTGGTTATCTGTTGGGCAAGTGCCGTGTAATCGGTGACAGATAATACTTGATTAGTTGATGAGGCTATATCACTTAGTTCCACGGCATTAATTTTATCACCAACTCCGATGGCAAACATATTAATCTTCTGGATTTTGGCATTTGTTGCTTGAGCTCGTGTTGCACTAGGAGTTAAAGATGCCCCATCTGAATATTTAAAACGAAAATGGTGTTACAACTTACAACACAGGATTAATATTTTCTGGCTTCTGCAAATATTCTACTAATAAAAAATTGGGAATTGATATGATTACCTAACCTGGTTACAGTAGACTGCTAATTTTAATTGAGTGATATTTTGGCCTTATGCTTCTAAAATAAGTAATAGTTAACAGGCAAAAGTACGTTCTCATTCCATACATATCTGTGAACCGAACATGTCGAAAATTGAAAACTATCTATTACTATAAAGTTTCTTACCGGTGATAACAATGCCAACTTTAGGGCTTGAAGAACCGTTGAACATCTCAATCATTTTGGCGATACCCAAGTCGGTGGCTGTTCCTGCACGTGTATGGGTAAGATTACCAATTTCATTAGTTACATTACTGGCATCGCCTGATAATGGAATGACTTTTCCTACTGCCGAACTGTAGACGACCACGCCGAATCGAACTGATGAACTCACCCCCAGAGCTGTAACAAACCTTTTCAAAGAATTCCTAACTGATTGAAAGTCTTCTGGTCCGACACTGTCAGAGCCATCGACAACGGCTATAACGTCAAGTAATCGTTGGCATCCTGTAGGATCTGTTGACAGAAAGATGAACAACAAGATAAGAAATGTATTACAATAATATTAGGTTAGTTTAAGAGTGCTGGAAACAAAATCAGGACAATACATTATTTGCAAAGCCAACATGTGGGGTGTGCGCGTACTTAGTGTTTAGCGTCTGTTTCCACCGAGGGTGATATCGCAGGCAAGTTGTTTTATTTTCAGTTTTATTATCTTCGAGCACACGTAAGGTTCGTTTTCCTGTGGGAGGAGAAGGGAGTACATGGAGTAAGCCCACGATGTTAAGATGTCGTCCCTATCTCCCAGCCACTTACGCTCAAACCACAAGCCTTAGATGACCTACCAGCTAGAGCTCAATCTAGACCAGGTCTCAAGGGGTGGGGGTGCAACCGGTGCGCTGCCCTAGAGTCCATAAGAGTGTACAGGGCCCTTGAATATCGAAGTTCAAAATTGAAATCGGCAATTATATAGGCATGAATTATTTCATTGTTCCTTTGAAGCTAATAACAGTATGTACAAAGGCTTTCCCTTTATCACAATCTGCTAGTGAATCATCTAGTTTTGGAAAGGAGCTGGGCTCGGGAATAAAAACGGTCTCACCCCAGCACATTTTTGTTTCCGCTCAAGGGCCCTACTCTTGACCATTAGGCCATCCCAGCCACGCTTAACGTCCGCTTTTTTTTCAATGTGATATCGCAGACGACAAGAGGAATGCGCGAACAGCTACCATTTGAATATTAAATGAAATCATGAATTATATGGTCACACTGTATTTTTCTAAAACAAGGACAATACTTATTTAACGAGTTTCGTCCAAATTCAAAATAATACCAGTTACAGTGTATTTCAAGTGAACATACAGCCTAAATGTTCATCAGGATTTTCGTCGTGGTTTGCCTTTGTCAGTGCTGCAAGACAGATGACCTGGCAATGACAGCTGTCTGGTCGTTCGGATTTAACGAAAGGCGGGCACCCATATACACATTGGCCTGCGCGTAACAGCGCCTTTGACAGTTGGAATTCAAGATCAGATTAGGTCGTAGCGCCGCCGTCCGGGCACGATTTCCCTCATAGCACACTTTATGACGTATTCCCGTCGGTGCAGTAGGATGTTAATCCCCATTTAATTTAATCCAGTATGATGTAATAATATGAAATGTAACATTCAAACTGTAATAATCAACGGAAGAGCATATACCTGAAGCAATGGCCCGAGAAATCCCTCTCTGGCCATTGCTGGATTAGCTTCTGATACTTGCGCTTTTGAGGGAGTGGGCCAATTCTTCCCGTTCAATCAAATCTATCCAAAAGCACAGCAACATGACAGCCCTTTGTTTAATCAGGTGTCTTACCTAAAACTTTGGACAGTGATTTAAGGTATTAAAAACGGTGAAAGTGTTGTTCGTCTCAAAACAATATTGTTTACATTATATCCACAGAGTAAAAATCGTATTGACAGTTGATAGCCTTGTTTGTCACACAATTAGTTTTTCTGCAATATTCTGCTATGCACTGGTTAATAGGGCATACTAAAATCATGAGTCATGACGTAACGTTATGTAAACATATTTGATCTAATTTGTAGCTCTGTTTGGTATTGTTACGCAGTAAGTTATTGGTTGTTAATCGGACTATTGACCAGTCATAATTTAGAACAAGAATTTGCTTTGTTTACAGCAGTGAGTAGTGGGATTAGCTCTAATCAAACGAAACACTGCGAGGAGTATGACGGAAGAGTAACCAGTAACCATTCAAATATTATGGATTGGCCATTACATTCTTTTGATTGCACATATCAATGTGTAGCTATATGATCATCCTTACTTTTAGTATCAAATAAGTATATTTGACACACATAGATTTAGAAACACCAAAAATTGAAAATAAAGAATCATAATGTTCCAGAAAAAATAACCATGTGTTTTTTTTTTTTAGGAACAATCGAATTAAAACTGAAATATGGTTTCGGATATATTCATGGTTGCAAAATATAAACCTTGAAATTGAATTTTTTTTTTCATCGAACCATAATAATCCAGAAAAAAAAAGTAACTTTGTTTTAAGGAACAATCGAATTGTAGCTAAAGCAAGATTTCGGGTATATATTCACAGAATCGAAAAATGAAATATTCTTACATGAAACAGCTGTATGTAAAGCCACCAAGGTAACAATTCCCACCAATACCAATTGTTTCATTGCGGTTGTTAATTTTTAAAATCTGAAACATTTCAAATATATAATATTATTGACCAAAAGGCCAATAGCAGAAGTGCTGCAATAAAACTATATATAAACTTTAGGATAATATTGTTAATATTATATGTTACTATTAAAAACACATTATGTAAGAGCTAAATCTGCCTATTGCAGGTCTTTCTTTAGGCCTGAAATATTAAATAAACTATTAATTAAACATTTATTAACAAAACAAGACCACGATCAACTCTCGATGGCATCGGATACTCGCGATTTTAACTAGGTTAGAACTGTTCGCCATTTAAAAATTTTATTTAAAAATGAGAAAGCGAGACAAAGTCTCGAATATACCAGTACCCTGGTTACCACAATGCACACATCTTGTCAAAACTACAAACAGCGATAACTTGGCTCAGAATGAAGTAATTTGAATGAAATTTTCAATATATTTATTTTACATTATCTATTTTGAGCTGTTATTGCAAAAATGGTCAGCTCTTTATCTAAATCTTACATAATGCATCTTTAATTTATAAACGGTCATGTTCTAATTAATATTAGCAGATATGTAACATTAAAATTGAAACTTTAGGACAATCTCTGCTTAATTAATAAAGGCCCAAAGGGGCATTATGGGAGATTAGATAACGAGTTGACATTTCTCAGTATAATAGTTAAAAACTAGATAATGTAAAGGGAATGTGCTGAAAATTTCAGTCAAATCGATGCACTTTGAACCGAGATATCATTAGCTTTTGAATTTTCGGCCTAGCCTCGATCATCATTACTAAAGTCGATACCATAAAAAAAAAATTGTCTCGATTATCCCCTTTTAGATTAAATCATCAATGAGCGATGAACAGCAAATCGGATTCAAATCCAGTAAACATCGCAGACTAGCGATGACACTGAGAATTGATTATGCTCTGGATAAGTTAATTAATGTCTAATTTAAATTAATAATTTAGAAAACATTTCATGCCTAAAGAAAGATCTACAATAAGCAGAAAAAGGTCTTGCTTAATGTATCTTACGTTCGATGTATTAAAAAATTCTATGTTGTATTAAATATAGGTATACTTTAAAATGTAAGTTTATATACTTACCCTTTTAGTTATCTGTTACTTGGTTAGCCCCGACAGAATGATTTAATTCTAGCAGATTAGGGTCTTTTTATATGAAATCTGAAATGTAAGGGCTTATTGTGAATCACTGATCTGATACATGTACATCCCCTTTAAAAAAAAAAAAGAAAATATTATATGGTTTTTTTCCAAAAAAGCAATAGAATACTGAAATAAACTTGGCCGTCTGCCAATCTCACACTGGGGACATAATAAACAAATACTTTAATAAGTTCGATTATTTTCTGCATAGGTTAACGGGTGTACAGTTTGTAAGATGATTTACATGCTCAGTTGAGTCAAAAGCTGTAGAAAGATCTAACAATACCAGCAACGCCCCTTATCGACAGACATCTTAAAGGATGTTATGAGACCTTTCAGTGATTTTGGGGGGGGGTCACTTTGATGATAAAACTAGAAAATAAAATAAAAATTTTTGAAATTTAGATTATGCTATATAAAATATTTCATAAAGTTCGCTTTGATTTTTAAATTTGGAAATTAGAAACGTTTTAAAATGTAGATTATGTAGATTAAAATGTAGATTAATGTTTTTTTTAGAATAGAATATTTTATACCGTTTCGTTCTTTCTTGACCACCATTTAGGACGAACGAAATCTGCTATGGGACCTTTCAAAGATTTTATTAGCTTTGCCTTGATGATCAAATTGGAAAAACATTTTTTTTTAAATATTAGAGATTTTGTTTTTGAATACGTCCACGTGATTTGCTTTTTGACCAACAATCTGGACGGACTAAATTCAGTTGAGAGCAAGTCCTTTAAAAGATTTAATAGCTTTGCCTTGATGATACAATTGGGAAAAAACTAATTTTTAAAATATTGATCATGCCTCTTGAACACTAGATAGGACGGATTAAATTATGGTGTGAGACCTCTGAAACATTTTATTAGTTTCACCATGATGTTAAAGCTAGCCAATAGAACGATTTTAAACTATGAATTATGTTAGAATTAGAATACTTTATACCGTTACCAATGGTAAAATGTTTATTTTGTCTTAAATATTGGATATCAGAAGCCCATCTTTTCCCGGTATGATCACAGCATCAATGTTGATTTAAGTTGACAAATAATTCGTGTTTTTAATGTCGAAGATTGTGGATGATATTGAGTGAGAGACCTAGCTACTTTAAGGTCAATTACAACTTTATTCAAGGCTGCTTCGGTTCGTTCTATGATGGGGTCTATTAGCTGATCTAGAGGATAAAAAAACTGTGTTTTGGCTGCCTTTTCCTAGAATCTTGGATGAAAACGGCAGATTGGAAATCGGTCTGTAAATTTGAAGAATATTTAGATCAAGGGATGGTTTCTTGAGTAAAGATGCTACCACAGCTGATTTGAAGAGGCAGAAACAATACCAGCCACAGTCTCTTATTTAAAGTGCCGGTGATGGTTGGTAGTAGTATGGCAATATTGGTATATATGGAAAGTAGAAACATCCAGTCTTACTAGAAAAATACAGGGTGGTTGGATGGCCGAATGGTTAGAATATACGCGCTGTATCATAAAGTCTGTCATTGAGTCAACTGGCGTGGTTCCAATCCTCGGTTGTACGTTACAAGGAGTAGGGTCGCCTGTCCAACCCCGTGGGTTTTCTCCGGGTCCTCCGGTTTCTTCACACTGCTAAAGACCCCCGCGCGCAAGCGAATTATTGAAATAAAATTAAAAACCATAAAACCATATGTTAGTCCCGAAATGACCTAGTTTGTATCGAGTGGACGTTATACCCCATCTCTCTCTCTCTCTATCACTAGAAAAATACTGGATTCCCTGACAAACACCCATGGAGAGCATACAGGATAAAAAATATAAGGGTTTCCCTAAACGACAACCCGACGATTGAGATGTCTGCTCGAATGAAAGGTTGCACGCGAAGATGGTCCGATCTTTCAGCGTTAACGAGCGCTTATGGTGAGCGGGCTTGGAAAAAGTGATAAACCCCGAAATGTTTGGCTTTTGAACCTACTCCTTTTCAGCTACAAAGGTGTGATCGACTTTGCATGGATGATAGTCCCTTTAATTGATAGTCAATGCGTTAGACCACCCATTCGTTGATATGTCCCTTTAAATGACATGCATAGCAAAGTACCCAGTTAATAGGGACAATTTGTGATTAATATACACCACCCGCATGCATTACACCCAGAACTACAAAGCTGGCATTGCATAGATGGCAGTCTTTGTAATTCATAGAAAATAAGTTAGATCAATTTTTCATTCATTCCTTTGGATTTTGATAATACGTTTATTGTTGATATGATATTATATGAAATTAAAATATAATCAATTTCATATTTCCCTTTAAAGAACATATATCGGATGCCCCACAAAAAACGGGTTCACGAGTGGAATAATTCAACAGATAATTATACCTATATAGTTACCTTTTCATATATTGCACAATAAGGCTGTTTGCCAACTTCCGAATATTCATTACACCAAAAACCTTGAATGGCTTGCAACATAAACAATACTTTCTTTACAATTGCATATCGAAACATAAATCTCGCCTCGCACAGGGTTTTTTTTGCGGGGTATCTTTTTATACTGGAGACATTAAATCGTTTGTTCAAAGTCAATGTGCATGACGTAATCCGGTTTAACATACGTGAAGATATATATAGATAGTTTGTAGTTAAGGAATATTCATGTTTAGGTTGAATTTATTGGTCGCCTATAAGATCCTGTTGATGAATTTTAAGATGATTGGGGCGTTAATAACATTGAAAAGTCCAGCAATGAATAAATTATTGTTTATCATAATGTTTGTATAGTCTAAAAGGAAGACATCCGTTTGTAATCGAATCTATCATATGCCTATATGGTCTGGAGGGGGGTTGGATGAAAAGGAGTAGGGTGCAACCTCGTGGGTTTTCTCCGGGTCTTACTGTTTCCTCCCACTGCTAAAGACCCCTGCGCGCAAGCGAATTATTGAAAAAAATCAAACCATGATATTCCAGAAATAACCTAGTTTGTGTCGAGTGGATGTTAAACCATCCGAATGGTTAGCACGTGCGTGCTGTATCATAAGGTCTGTCATTGAGTCACATGGCGTGGTTTCGATTCCCCAGTTGTTCGTGACAAGGAGTAGGGTCGGCTGTCCAACTTCGTGGGTTTTCTCCGGGTCCTCCGGTTTCCTCCCACTGCAGAAGTGAATTAATGAAATAAAATTGAACCATGTGTTAGTCCCGAAATGACCTAGTTTGTGCCAAGTGGATGTTAAAAAACATCCACTCACTCTCTCTCTCTCTCTCTCTCTCTCGATTCCCCAGTTGTACGTGACAAGAAGTAGGGTCGGCTGTCCAACCTCGTGGTTTTTCTCCGGGTCCTCCGGTTTCCTCCCACTGCCCAAGTGAATTAATGAAATAAAATTGAATCATGTGTTAGTCCCGAAATGACTTAGTTTGTGTCGAGTGGGCGTTAAACCCCATCTCTCTCGTGGCTTGATAACGATAAGAGAAGACTTGTCGAAATGTGCTATATGTGTATAAACCAGTGATTGTATTCCATATAAATTGTGTTGTGTTTTTTAATGTGCTCAATGCCACTCAAGGATTATAAGGATAAGATAGTGAGGGCTGACTTGATCTCGTGGCCGCTTCAACATTGATAAATAAAGTCGACAACCCGACATCACGACACCACGACAATCCGACATCACGACATTTTTACGCGACAATACGACATTTTTACGCGACATTACGACTTTATTATTGCCCGGACAGCGGCACTATCGCCTACTCTTATATCGAATTCCAACTGCCAAGGGATATTTTAATTGCAATCCAATGTATACACGGGACCTCGGGTTTTCGTCCCATCCGAACGACTTGACATCTGTCCTTGTCAGGCCCTCCGTCCTGCACCACTGACAGGGGGAAACCACGTCGGAAGGTTTTTCTATGAGGTGTGGAAAACGATTTGCAGCTCTAATTAACCGTATCTTATATTCATCCGTTTAGCGTATTCACTAATGGGATCAAGCCATAGATGATTGAAAATAGGCACAATATACGCTCCAACGGAATGGTTCGGGGGGGGGGGGGGGGTAATCCCCCGACACCAATCCCCAGTTTTTATTTGTTTTTATAATTTCGGAATCAATAAAATGGTATCAATGATGTTTGCCACGACTGGAAAATCATATAATATATAGCCTAAAATATTACATAATTATTTTGAATTAGTATAAAAAGTAACCTACATTTACTCAAAATGTTTTTTCCAATGAATCATCATTTAACTGGAAAATAAGGCAAACAGACGATCACAAACAGGGATTCAAGGAAACCATGTTTCAAACAGTAGAAGTTCGGGTATGCATTTATATCAGAGGGTGCCACCCTCTCTTTGAAAGTAATGATCGTACTAAATTTGAACAAAACCCACTCAGATTCGAGCATGCGCTAATATTAATTGGTACCATGCTGCTGTTGAAATGATTGATTTTGAGGATTTGAACAAAATCTGTTCATAATTAATGTAACATGTAGAGTATTAACAGAGAGGATATTAACAAAAAAAAGTCGACAACACCAGTGGGCGTAGAGCATGGACCAAAATCAATAGCTGTCGTCCTTCGGCTATAAGGAATAGGTATGTCAACTTCCAAGTTGATCCATTCAGAACAGTGACCCGTACGTCAAGACGACCGGTTAAGAAATGCAGCCAAAAAATATTAACAAAAAGTGTATAATTTCACTATCAAGTATTTCAAAAAATTTTCTGCTTAGACCAAGTAGAGATAACCATTAACAGTACACAGTTTTTATGGGAAACAATCCCTTTGAAGGTCTTCATAATTAGTTAATGTCATTCTATGTTTGGACTGCTTAATTTATCAGCCTTTCATCTTGTTTTATTTTTTGTTTAATCTTTTACTCTTATTGTTTTGTTATTTAATCTCTGTAAATGGCTTCACCGTGCAACTCCTACATATTCATCCTCAGTTATCTAAATGTCATTGTGCTTGATAACGATAAGAGGATACTTGTCGAAACGTCGTGCTTTAGAATAAAACCAGTGTTCT